TCTGAGACGTTTGTAGGCGCATAGCATTGAATGACTGTAACTTTCCTTCCTTTTGAGTTGAACCTGGCTGTCATTATCCTGGAGGAGATTGGTTCCAACTGCATGAGAGCTTTGGCTGCTGTTGGTGACATCATGATGGCCACTCCCTCGGTGTGCTCGTGGTTGTCCTCTGGGTGGCCGGAGAAGATTATTGTCTCTCCAGTTGGTAGTTGGCACCTTCCAGTTCCGTTCCATCTGCTTTCGCAGATTCCCAACACTTCTATTCTGTACCTTCTCATTTCAGCGGCTATCTGGCCAGCCTTTCCAGTTTCGTACATTGTACGAACATTCCAGGTACCCATCCTTACTTTTGCTTTCATCGAAAGAAGGCACATCGGTTGACTGGCTTCCCGAAGGCTTTCACCAGCCTGCGTCATTTCACTTCCCCGATTCCAGCGAAAAATAAGGCTATTGTTTATGTTTTTATAATTTTTAATATATTTATTCGTTGAAGTTTCTGTAGCGATTTGGTTGTTTTACGGGGGTGGAGTTGCTAGCACCACGACCCAACCCTCCCTCTTTACCCGTGCTTGGGACCGGCTAGAAAACTAGCAAGCTAGTAATCTGGCGAGGTTAAGCCAACATCACCCGATATTCCCAGCCGGTCACCTATGCAAATACTAACCGGGCCCAAGGTCGCCTGACTTCGGTGATCGGACGAGAACCGATGCTTTCAACGTGGTATGGTCGTCGAGAGTAATAAGATTGGTTAACAAGGGAAGGTTGGGCATGAAGCTGGCTTGCAACCCAATCTTGTAAAAATAAACACCACAGCTACGGAAACTTCAAGCCTCTAGCTTGGAGATAGTCTATATTCCACTGGGAACGTAATGAAATAAAAAATTTTTTTAAAAAAAAGGGATTTTATGTACAATATCCTACTCTGTTTATTCTAAAGTAATAAAATTTCTACCCTTTTTTTTCCTAATGATGTTAGCTTTTAGTACCTATAACTAACTCATCACCAAAAATAAAGAAAGATACCATCAAAACCCGCGAGAGCCACCTCAATAAAATTAATATGACCCGTTGCACAAGAGGCGGCTCTCGTGGCCCAAGTGGTCTAGTGGATAACGCTTTGGCGTTTGAAACTATGGGCACTGGGTTCGAGCCTCAGTGGGAACATCATCACTCACTGAGAAATGCAGGTACATCCAGCTGAAGGACGAGTCCCAAATAGGACGAAATGCGCATCCTGGATTCCACTGCTAGCCACCATACACCAATTGTATACAAATCAAATCCCCAGACATCGTCGAAGAATCTGCACAAGAAGCCGACATGTCAACCTGAGACCGAACATTTCGGTCCAATCAATCGACGGGAAAATCAAGAATTCAATTCAATAATTAATATGACCCGTTGCACAAGAGGCGGCTCTCGTGGCCCAAGTGGTCTAGTGGATAACGCTTTGGCGTCTGAAACTATGGGTACTGGGTTCGAGCCTCAGTGGTGGGAACATCATCACTCACTGAGAAATGCAGGTACATCCAGCTGAAGGACGAGTCCCAAATAGGACGAAATGCGCTTTATCCTGGATTCCACTGCTAGCCACCATCCACCAATTGTATACAACTTCAAAGATTGTTAGCGTCATTTGATAATAACGTCTATTTCAGGCCTATTATGGATAAAATTGCGCAGTGTTCTACAGTAATATTTACTAATGACCACGTTTTGAGGACAAATTATTGCTCATAATCATATTAAGGCACTCACATATATAAGGAGGGGACATATGAGATCCCAAGTGGTAGGATTCTCAATAAAGCCGGAATTAGGGTGGTATTTAAACCCTCCTACAAACTCATTCAGAGACATGCTCTGTAGGCTAAAGGCCCCGGCGCACCCAATTAAACAAAATAATATTATTTACAGAATACCTTGCAATGATTGTGAGTGAGGTCAACGACATAGGTCATACTGGTAGATCAAGAGTAGTGAGATTATCAGAACATAAGAATTTAGCTACTGTTAGAATGATTGATCTCACGAAGACAGATGAGTAATTAAGAGAAACAAACTCAGCAACTGCACTGCATGCATTCACACACAATCACACAATAGAGTGGAAGGGACAGAGTTGAAATTCTAAGGAGTAATATAAGGAGGTGGAGAGACAAGTTGATTACTGTATCCTGCCTGGTTCATCGAGTCTACACACCCAACACATGCAACAGAAGTGACTCAATACAAATTCCAGAGATATGCAAGATTTTATTACCAGTCAAATCAGAGGATAATACATAATGTTAAAATGTATTTGAATTCACATATATTTTAATTTCCTTCACGTTCCCAGTGGAACATAGGGCTTCAAGCTGGAGGCTTGAAGTTTCTCTAGCAGTGTTTATTTTTACAGGATGGGGTTGCTAGACAGCTTCATGCCCAATTTTCTCACTTTACCAGTGTTATTACTGGCTTAGAGAGGTAAAGGAGTGCGTCGGCCTGGGATTGAACTCCGGACTATGTGCATGGTCGGCGAACATGCTAACCGCTGTGCCACCAACGCACACTGAATTCACATTATAACATTCTAACAAGTTTAATTGGTGGATGGTGATTAGCAGGCGAATCCAGGGAGCGAATTTCGTTAAATTTGGGACTCATCATCTGGACGGACACTGGGTTCGAACCTCTGTGAGAAAATCATTACTCATTGGGGAATTTAGGTACGTCCAGATGACCAGTCCCGAAAAGGACGAAAAGCGGATCCTGGATTCTTTTGCTAGTCACTACCCACCAATTAAATTCTAATTACATCCAAACATATTGTCAGAGCATCTGCATAAGATACCGACATGTCAACCTGAAACCGAGCATTTCGGTCTGATCAATCGACGGGAAAATCTAAATTTGAATTAAATAATTAATATGACCCATTGCACAAGAAAAAAGGTGGCTCTCATGGCCCAAGTAGTCTAATGGATAACGCTTTGGCGTTTGAAACTATGGGCACTGGGTTCGAGCCTCGGTGGGAACACCGTCACTCACTCACTGATGAATGCAGGGACATCTACTGACTGACGTGTCCCATCCTGGTGGATTCCACTGCTAGTCACCACCCACTTAGTAACTTATAATTATACTTTATTTGAACTGGTTTCATTTTACGCAACTTTTGACTACATATTTCTGATGGTGATTAGTAAAATGTGACTATGTCTGCTGAAGAAGCTCTGGCTTACAACTCAGCAGAACATTCAGAAAAATCCAGTTTTGACTTCTTTAGATCTTAACAACGCTGGGTGTAAGATCAATTCAATTCTCATCCTTGAATCAAGTCAACCTGTCCTGGATCAGCCTAGCGTTGTTGTAACCCAATTATTCATGCCTAACGTGTCTATCCCCCCCTTGTTTAACGAACTGTGTGTATGTGTTTTTACCTCGATCCGTTTAGTCAGATAGTGGAACTCATGGCCCAATCAGAGTATTTTGTGAACTGTTATTTTTGCTGACCCATGTCTCACTTTGTACTATTCTGTCGAGTATATCTTATTTATTGATTTTCATCTGTATTTTCCTACTTGGTTAAGTAGCCAATTAAATTCTATCTTTGTGCCTATGCTCTGTCTATCTCTTAACCTGCCTTACTTGAGTTCATTCTTCTACTGATTGCTTACCTGAACAGTCATGTCTGGTTCCGGATAGTTTGCAATTTGGCTTTAACGTTATTCCGCTCTGATAGCGGTACCTTACTTTCTGTTAAGCGTTGTGCTTTGTACTCTTGAAATCGTTATAGTTTGTTGCATATATAGTTATTGATTTGTTTGTTAATAGTGTGGTGAGAGCAGGCCGTGAGAAAATATGAGCAAGGCTGATTCAACAACCAATCACAGCAAAGTTAACGTGGCAAAATATGATTCGCAGATAGAGAACTCTATTTGTCGAGGAATCCCGAAACAACCAATCAGAAGCCTGCGTTTGTCTGCCTAACTTCTGATAAACAACCAATCAGATGACTGCGCTTGTCTACTTGCATAAGCTGTAATATTGTATGTGAAATATGTATAAATACGTGTTGATTTTCATAATAAAACGATCTGTTGCCTGGCCCTTGTCTTCTGTTGTTACATTTGGTGTCGCTGCCTACCGACAAATGGAAAGCCTACGCCCTGCTGTTTTTGATGGAGACATATGGATCTTCGGGCAGGACTTCAAGGCTTCTGCGCAGTTGAGTGGCATTCAAGATCTGTCAGCGATGGAGCTGCTACTTGGGACGCTGCTGGGAGGTCGGGTGAAAGCAGCATATGAAAGTGTGAGACGAAATAACGACGAATGTTCGACAGGGTCAGGCAAACAGTTTCCAAAGTGGGAAGGACCACATATGGTCACTTCGAGATGGGATTACGCGGACACAATCGCAATGACGAACAGTGAGAGGCGCGTGAACGTCAGCGAGCTCCAGAAATGGATACAGCGAGACAAGCCAACGATGACGCCTGCACCAAGAGGATCAAGCCGACTTCAGTCGCACGTATTTGACGGGGTACGAGTGTGGTGAGAGCAGGCCGTGAGAAAATATGAGCAAGGCTGATTCAACAACCAATCACAGCAAAGTTAACGTGGCAAAATATGATTCGCAGATAGAGAACTCTATTTGTCGTGAAATCCCGAAACAACCAATCAGAAGCCTGCGTTTGTCTGCCTAACTTCTGATAAACAACCAATCAGATGACTGCGCTTGTCTACTTGCATAAGCTGTAATATTGTATGTGAAATATGTATAAATACGTGTTGATTTTCATAATAAAACGATCTGTTGCCTGGCCCTTGTCTTCTGTTGTTACAATAGTACCGTAGAAACAGTGACCGGCTTCTTGTTTGTTCTACACCGGGATAGCCTTTATATCTACATGTGACTTAATTTCAAGCGATATTGAGCTTACACTGAGATTATTATTTTAAACAAATTCATCATGAACATTCGTTGTCATCAGTAAAACAATATGAAAACTTACCGTGAAGTTGTCATCCGTGTTCAGTACAGTGATTGCTCGATAACGAAAATTATTCAGTCTCCTAGTTTAGTTGAATAAAGGGGGTTAAAAGGAGGCTTAAATTATAAATAATATTAATAATTATAAAGTACAAGACAGATGAAGCCAAATGGAAGGTTCATTTGGACAAATTATAAAAATAATTCAATGATGCAATCAAACGTGAATTTATCTAAGTATTTCTAAATAATATCGTCTCTGTTGCTCTAAGGGCATTTGGTTATTCAATGACTGTTGCCTCTATGGTTCTTTTTACTATTCTATCCGTCTTTTTCTTGTATTTATTCTGTAGCAGGAGAAATCGCATAGGATATACGTTCAGTGTGGTTTGAATTTTTTTTTCAATGAGGTGAACTGTCTGACGGCATAATGAATCTTCTGAAATAAGGACCAGCCAGTAAACACCAGTCACCACATGATTATTATTATTATTCCTTTGGATTCCGAGTAGAAATCTCTATTTTATTCCATTTCCTGAAATCCACTTCAACCGAGTCAACGATTACCCATAATCTATCGTCGTCGTCCTCTCACTGACAAACCACTCGCCGCTTTTCATTCGGATTTCGCTTGAGCGAAGATTTGCATTTAGCGTGATGTCATTCAACGATTTCCTCAGTGTATACCTGATCAATCCATCTCTTTTTACTCCTACATATTTAGAAAATCAAAACAAGTGATTCAGCGAAGAGACTCTTTTCAACGAATTTATCATCAAGCTGTACAGTCGTATATATATGGTTTTTTTTAAGAAGATATATCCGGTGAGGGAATTGAATCTTAGGTGTGAATGCATAAAATAATAATAATAATAATCATATGAAGTTCAATTAAAACTAAAATGTTTGTGATTATAATCGTAGTTAAATGTCAAGTGGCAAAGCAAATTAATGTCATATATAGAATAATTCATAGGAGGGATAGAACTTGAAAAAGGATGTGCAATTATAGGATTAGTAGACAAATCGAATAAAACAAAAACGTTACGTAATATTCTGTGAAATTTAATAGCATAGAATTTAACGTTGTAAAAAACAATTGATTTAGAATGACAAGTGGAACAAGTGAAATAATACCGGGGACAGTTCAAAGTGAGAATAGTAATAATAGTAACAATTGACTTAATAAGGAAGAGTATACAAATTGAATAGACAAAATGAAAAAATTGGTAGAGCTAAAATATGATTGGGGATTGTCATATTTTAGCATAGAGGGATTAAGACCATGAAAATTGGAGGGGTTGAACGAACTTTTTCTGGCTTTTCTGTTTCGATAGCCAAAGCTTCAGCAATACAGATGAGTCGGGTACGTAGGGATTTAGGTAGATTGCTCTTTGCCTTGTAGATGACTTTAAAGGCGGAGGCTATAGAGACAGGGTGATCATTTTCGACCAGATGTTCTATGATCGCGCTTCTTATTGCTTCACTTCCACCTTTTCGTAGCCATGCAGGATAATGTTCTTGCACCCTCTTGGACAAAACTCGAGTCGAACGACCGATATACCTAACTCCACAAGAGCAGGTGAATTGATAAACGCACATAGAGTTGGTCAACATTGGGATCTTGTCCTTCAGGTTATTGAATCTGCTTTGCCACTTGACATTTAACTACGATTATAATCACAAACATTTTAGTTTTAAGGCGAAATGTTGGCAAGTGAGAAAAGAGATGCGGCGTAGAATGTGCGTTGATGCTGACGAAGTCTTTGAGTTGTCAACTGCATAATCTGGTCGCCTTGAATGGAGATTAATAAGTGGCTTTTTGTACAGAACTGTCTTTTCGAGATGGTTTTCTTTGCTGTGACAAGTGATAACTCTCCGATAACATTAGTAATAAAATGAATGTACTGTCGAGCTCATCATCAGTGTGCACTCGTGCATATTTTTGATAGGAAATGATGGAACGATTCAGCGCTTATTTTGTAAACAAACATGGACTGGACAATATCTTCATTTTACCAGTTTTGTTCCTATCCAGTATAAACGTTCCCTAGTGAAATGTTTGTTCTCAAGGGCCCGAAAAATATGCACGAGTGACACACTGATGGATGAGCTTCGACATGTACATTCAGTTTTATTAGCTAATGGTTATCCGGAGAGCTTTATCACTTGTCACAGCAAAGAAAAACCACATCTCGAAAAGACAGCTTCTGTACCAAAGAAAGCCATCTTTATTAATCTACCATTCAAGGGCGACCAGATTATGCAGTTGACAACTCAAAGACTTCGATCAGCCATCAAACGCACATTCTACGCCGCATCTCTTTTTCTCACTTGCCGAACATTTTCGATCCCTGTTCCTACGATTAAAGGACGAAATTCTGTGGACTCTACTTCAAACTGTATCTACAAGTTCACCTGCAGCTGCGGTGACACCTATATAGGTAGAACTAACAGAATGTTCCAATGTCGTCGAAAAGAACATATTCCAAAATGGCTAGTAAATCATATCGAAAATCCCAACGCGATTAATATTAATAGAAATCCAGCATCATCCATTGCAAAACACTTATTAATGTCTGGTCACAAAATCAATATTAATGACTGTTTCACGATTATTTCACATAACTCTAATTCAAGGTTATTGAAGGTGATGGAAGCCCTTTGGATTAATCACATACAGCCTAAACTGTGTGTACAAAAATCAATAGACTTCAATCTTCGCCTACCCTGGACTGCATGACCTATCTTAATATGATTGGTCATTAGTATGTACTTTTGTTTTTATTTAACTGAGTAATTTTCATGAACTTTATTTTATCATTGTTAACCATGTTAGTTGTAAAGCGGTTGTAAAGAAACTACGAAATGATATCATCTCGCGAAATTTGTCTTCTCAATGCCTTGTTCAAATTTATCAAAGGGACTAATTGTTTTAATTTTTGAACTTCATATGATTATTATTATTAGTAGTATTTTATGCATTCACACCAATGATTCAATTCCCTCGCCGGATATATCTTCTTAAAAAAAAACCATATATATACGACTGTACAGCTTGATGATAAATTCGTTGAAAAGAGTCTCTTCGCTGAATCCCCACTTGTTTTGATTTTCTAAATGTTACAATGGGAATTTTCCATGAGTTAAAAAATAGCAAAGATCCTACATATTTGTTGAGCACTTGAATCTTGATTGATTTGCTGCCAGCCGCAGTTTCTTGTTGCTAATTGTTTCTGACCGGCAGGCTGGCCATTTGATCTTGAGTATGGAACACCAGTAAAGGAGCAGCTGTTGATATAAAATCTTCAGTAGTCTGTTGGAAATCCCTTTCGGGGAAAACGCAGTACACGTTTCTATTCAGTATTGAAGAAACGACTGACTGACTGACAGACTGACTTCATATTTGTGTTCAACAGAATCCAAATCTTGTTCTTTATGCTACTTAAGTGCAGTACAGTTTTTTCAAACCTTCCCTTCCGATTCTAACTTCGACATCTTTATCGGTGTAGTCGGACTGCTCGTGGTTGATACCGTGCTTCTAAGAAAAGTGAGGCAACCAATGTCTGTCAATTTTCTCCTGTTGATGGTGATTGGTGCTAGTTGTTGTTGTTGTTGTTGTTGTTGTCGTTTGGTTACCTTCATTACTGTCTTCTGTATGTTCACCTGCAATCCTGTCTTCTTTGCTTCTTCTTCTGCCAGCTTGTTGGTTTTTGCCTGCCTGCGAGTCTTTGAATTTGTGTGATATTAGAAATAAACCATCCAACCGCGAAATACAGATCTTCTAGAGTCTTCTTATTGGTTCAACGTATCCCTGTCTTCTCACTCTCAAGCACATTCTGGCTCATAATCTAATCCACAGCATTTAAGAATATCACCCGGCGATAATAGACAGCAGCCTTGTCCTACTCCTGTATTCCCTAACGAACACCTCGCTGAGTTTTCCGTTGTGCATCACTTGATACGTACCACTATCGTACAGCTGTTGACTGAGGTTGATAAAGACTTCAGATACTCCATAGTGTTGAATTATTTTCCAAATTACTTGGCTATCAACGCTATCAAGCCGATGAAGTTGAGGTAGAGACCGGTCTTTGTTCAAAGATTATGCATGAATTGGCAATTTGATGCCCAAAATGATTTGCCTTTCCTGAATCCAGCTTGTTCCTGTTGGAGGAGGGTTCGGCATCCAGTGCATCCTCTATTCTCTCCAGGATCATGTGACCTAGTATTTTACTTGACAAGAAACAAGAGCATTACTCCATGACAGTCAGTTCTTGCTGAGTGACGCTTAGTTCGTCTTTTTTTGGCAATTTGACGCAATAACCCTTCTTCCACTCGGTGTGTATCTTTCCTTCTTTCCAAAACTTTTGCAGTAATGGCGTGAGCACATCTGCCTCAATCTCTGAGTCCGTCCCCAGCGCTTCGGGAGGGGTGAGGGAATTCCATCTGACCCTGCTGACTTCCCTCCTGGTTATCAGCAGCTTGATTGCAAAACAAGACTTCAGCTTTTGTTGGTGGATTGATGTCCACTCGCAGGCAGTTCTGTTTGTCCTAGTGAGCTAGTCAACTAGGCGAGGTTATCAGTCACCATAAATGATAGATATTCAAAGAAAGTTATCTCTTCAGCTCTACCTAGGCAACAATATTCTGATTAAAGGTACCGCTGATGAAGATAGCCGGGAGGAAGAAAAATAAATGCAGGAGTTTATTACTCTGAAATAAGTTCAGAGATTCACAGCTAACAGCACAGGTAACAAATCAAACGGATTTCTAACAAGCCACTGCAAACTCTTGACAACAATTGCCCTCACTCGATCAGATGGACTACCAGAAAGGACAAGTGATAAGAAAACCCTGACTGGCGGTCAACCAGCTGGCAAATAGACGTGGAAATGGTATAAACTAAGGAGACAGTTAACTGATACGCTCCACCAGGCCATCATGTGAAACTCTAATGTGAAGCAACTGATCGAGTGGGGACCCAAACATGAAATGACATAGATCATGTGAAGAATGTACTCATGATTCAAATGTCTGTTTAAGAAATTATCAAAAATTGAATGATAATATATATATTTATTGTTATTATTTATCCAGTGTGTGTCGAATAGAATGAGCCAAGCTTTTAGCTAACTCCACATCTTCCCAACAGCTCTAATTTCCTCACCTCATGATCTTCCCCATCTCACACAGATTCCAATCAACTACCCATAATGCGGCTTCGCTCAGTGGACTCCTCCTTCTAGATATTTGTTGTTAGTTAGTTCGCTTCCTGTCAGAGTTTCATTTTTCTCACATTTTATCACCGATTTTTTGAGCTTTAGTATCAGAGCAACAGAGACAGAATGCGCTGATGAAAGTCCAGTTTCCTTGACGTGCACTCCAAGTCTCTCTGAATCAATCATACAGAAATAGTGTAGCGAACGATAGCATTAAAAATTCAAATCATCTTTGATGTGGTAAATGCTATAGATCTTTACAATGGTTTCAGAGTGATGAAGTGATATATACATATATATATATATACATCCAACAGCTGGCTATGTGACAGTGCCATGTGCCAGGTCATTCACAACGGAAAACTCAGCAAGGCATTCGAGGAGTAAGACAAGTTTGGCTGTCTACTATTATCACCGATGATATTCTCAATTGTGGTCGACTGGTGTATGCGTCAGAATGTGCTTGGGAACAAGGAGTCAGGAATACACTGGACCACCGATGAGAGGACTCTAAAAGATCTGGATTGCGTAGATGATATATGTCTACTGTCACACAAAATCGATGATCTCAAGGAGAAAACCACAAACTGGGAGAAAATGCAGTCAGGGAAGACAGGACTCCAGGTGAACATGCAGAAGACGATAATAAAGATAACCAATCAACAGCAAGAACAACCACCACCACCAATCACCATCAACAGGAGACATTTAAAAGAGGTTACCTCTTTTACTTATCTAGGAAGCATCGTTTCAATTACAGGCACATGGCAAGGATGAAACTGTCAAAGTCAGTCAGAACCGGATATGCAAGACGCGCCTTCATTAATCTGAAGTCACTTTGAAAATTCTCTGCACTGAACTAAAGTAACATAAGGAACAAGATTCGAATTCTGTTCAACACCAATGTCAAGTCGGTTCTTCTGTAGAGGTCAGAAGTTTGCATCGCGTGTCACGAAAAGGATTTCTAACAGCCTGTCGCAGACTTTCATCAACAGCTTCCACCTTCGATGGCTCCATGCTGAAGATCGAATGGCCAGCTGCCCAGCAACAAAGAATTAGCAGGAATAAAATCTCTCCTGGAAACCAACCAAGAGCCGATCGCTCAAAAAATATGTAGGAGAAAGTGGAGATGGATCAGACATACATCGAGTATGACATCGCACTCCAGGCCAACGCTCGAGTGGAATCCTAATGGAGAGTGACAAGTGCGTCGCCAGAGAGAGAGAATGACATGGAGGAGATCATGTGAGTTGGAAGAGATGAAAGAGTTTGGTCAATAGTAGGCCCAGCTGAAGAGGACAGTAGAAAATCAAAGAAAAGTGGAGATGTGCTCAGGTTGAAGCCCTATGTCCCACTCGGAACGCAAGGGAATAATTTAAAGAATATATATTCTACTTTCTAAGAAGGGTATAAATCTCCTTGTATAAAGATGAGGGAATATTCCATCTGAGGCGTAAACTATTCATGAAATACATGGCAGTCACTTACATAACATTAGATCTTTTCCAATCAAATTGACTTTTTTCTAAATTGTAAATATCAAATGTGTACTTGTTATACATCTTCAAACTCTCCTCCATTTCAGAAGGCATGCCTCCTTTTTTCTTCAAACAGCATGCGGTAATCAGATTAATTGAATTAATGTCACTCTTCAAACCAACGTCTATTATTGGTCTCAAACTTGTTTGAGCAATTGGTAAATATCGGTCTAGATATCAAAATTTATCAAAGAAATAAACAAAAAACTGCGTATTAGGAGTACAGGAGTAGGTTACTCAACGTTATAAATTCTTTCAGTTGACATGCCGCTATAAAAGATATAGTGCGGTCAAAAGTGAGAAACCTTCGGCTTTTCTTTCAAAATTACTTTTACTTCGTCTTGAACCCGCTTTGAAACCTTTTAATGATCCTAAACAATTTGCATACAAACATGGTAGAAGTACCTTGGATGCTGCGGTTGTCTTATATCACAATGTTGTCTCTTGTTTAGACAAAGGTGCTAAATATGTTCGTAGTGCTTTCTTAGACTACACATCTGCTTTTGACTCTGTACCTAGGGGCCTTTTGTTAAATAAGCTATCGTTGACACAAACAGGATCCTGGGCTAAGAGTTGGTTGCATTCCTATTTTTCTGATAGAATGCAGTATACTGTATATAACGGCAAATCTTCTTCTACCTCGCTTACAAAATCCGGTGTTCCACAAGGTGCTGTCCTCTCTCCTTTTCTTTTTTCTTTCTTCCTACATGACCTGCCTCATTCAAACGAAACTAACTTTGTCAAATATGCAGATGATCTGACTGTATCACTGCCTATCACTTCCGAGTCTGACAGCTCCAAACTTAATAGCTTTCTGTTGGACATCAACAACTGGTCCAAGTCAAATGGTCTTATATTAAATCCTTCCAAATGTCAGGTACTTGACTTTACTTTCAAGCATCGACGTGACTTACTTGAACTAGTTAACTCGCATGATCCCTGTAGCATAGATGGCACGGAAATTGAAACCAAATCAAGCATTAAATACCTTGGATTAGTTTTTCCTCTGACCTTTCATGGTCATCCCAATCTTATCTATCTCTAAGAAAATGTTTCGTCTTACCTTCTACATTAAAAAGTTAAGACAATCAGGTATCAACCAACCTTTAGTTTTGCAATTTTTAAACTCCTGTATTTTACCTATTGTACTCTATTGCTCTCCATTAATCTTTCCTGGGCTGCTCAAAAAAGATTATATCATATTACGAAGAGTATTAAATGCTGTGAGTAGAGCTTGTGGTCTGCCACTGCATGAGCTCGCTAATACTATAGTCGAGAGGCATATAAATTCCTGTACGAAATGGGCAAAGGCTATAATGTCAGACCCTCTGCACCCCCTTTATTCACACCTGTCCCCTTGTATCTCATCAGGTAGGACGAGAAGTCAATATAAAAAGTTATATGCTCGTACCACTAAGTATAGAAATTCTACAATACCCTATTTAGCCCGTACTTTATGTGACGAAGACTGTTAGACGTGAAACTTACAAGTTACTATGTAATTAGCACAGTGAATCGACCCTTTCATCGTTCATCTTTCTGTATTTTATGGTGTCACACTTTCTATCGTTTAAATCGTTACTCTGCTATTTTATTTTAGTTGGTATTACTATTATTACTACTACAATTTTGTACTTAATGCATATTTTTCTCCGTATGGCATGCAGTATTTTGCTATGTAGCTGCTATAACAATCGTTTTATTACTATTATGTAATGTCTATTTTTAATTTTTTTGTTATCGTTTTTGAGTAAACTAGATGCAATATTGTACTGAATGCTGAAAATTCGTTGCTGTATCATAGTACTGTTTTTGGAATAAAGCAAATTATTATTATTGTGACTTTGCATTCAGTGCCTCTGCTAGGTAAATCCCACTCGCTGCGTTCACGCATTATGAAGTGTCCCTTGCAAAGTGAAAGATCAGAGGTGAACATTAGGTACTTTTAACCAGAATAGTAGACACGGACTCCAAAATCTGAACGAATGAATGGGTTGTTGGAAACATAATTTCTAATACTGCACAACTGTTTTCTGGATCGGACTTCAATTTTAAGGCTCACAGTTGTCCCCTAAAGACATCGCCTGCTTCTATCTGGGCTGACGAGTAATATCCTATCTATTACACAAGCTATGGCATTTTATGTGGTACGTCTCTTAATACCCATAATGCACAAAATGTGTGTTTCAATAATAATAACCAATCCCGGCCGACGCACTCACAAACCTCTTTTACTTAATAATAAGCTTGGCAAAGAGGGAAGGTTATGCGTGAGACTAGCAAACCCATCCTGTAAAAAATGAGATCACTGCTACAGAAACTTCAAAGCTCTAGCTTGAAACCCTATGTTCCACTGGGAACACAAAGGAATAAAATTTGAGAAACAGAAAATAACCACTTGGTCAAGCTATTTAGGAAACACCTTCAACATAAAACACCAACCTAATGAACTACTGTTATCACGTTTATGTCCTATACACAGTGGGTCAGAGAAATTAACAAAAAAGTTTCTGTAGACTGGATAATGTGACAGTCAGCGGTCAGCAACGAGGAGACAGGCATAAAATGGACCCACACAAAAAAACCTGGAGGATCTGGATTTCGCCGACCTGATATGATATATGTCTGATTTTGCACAAACTGGAAGATATGCAAGTGAAAAGCAACAAGTTGGCAGAAGAAGCATCCAGAGAAGATAGGACTTCAGGTGAACACAGAGAAAACAGAGGTAGGTGATGGAGATCCCTGGCCAACAGCAACACCACCAAAAACACACAACAATCAACATAAATGGGAGAAATCTGAAAAAAGCAAACTACCTGGGAAGCATCGTTGCAACTACAGACGGACGGAACTGATAAGGAGATCAAAGTGTGAGGATCAAGAAAGCAAGGCAAGCTTTCGTTATTTACATCAAGTCTGTGTGGAGATAAAGATCACTACTTAGCATGAAAATGAAAATAGGATCAGGATTTTCAACTCCAATGTGAAGTCAGTGCTACTTACTATACGGATCAGAGACTTCCCGCCGCGCCGCATCACGATGGACACTTAGAACAAACTACACACCTCCATCAATAGCTGTCTCCGCTCAATACTACTCAAGATCCGACGGCCAGTCAGAATAGATCAGCAACAGGGAAGGATCTCTGGCAATGAAAGAACTAACTAACCAGGAACCAACTGTGCAACAAATATGCAGGAAGAAATGAAGGCGGATTGGCTGGCCATAGTCTGTGAAAATAAACCACCATCAAGTGTGTGAAACACACGCCAGGGAGTCACTCGAGTGAAACCAGAATTGGAAGCGATGAGTTAGTTGGTCGTCAGTGCGAAGGTGGCGTGAAAGAGGATGTCGTATGAAGAGTAGATGATAGCATGTAGTCAGACGTGGAGTCAGGTGAAAACGTTGGTTTAGAACCGATGGAAATGGAGACGTGCGTCTGAAGCCGTATCTTCCTCTAGGAATTAAAGGAGACAATAATAATAATAATACTAGTTAATTTCCTAAATTGCTATTACTCATAATTCTGCAACTCAAACAGAAACGAGGAGATTGAAAATAACGCAAATAAAAGGTACATTAGTAAATTAAGAAATACGATGCTAAAATTAGAATAGAGCATGGACAAGATCTGGAATAGACTTGTGTGTCTTAAGCCGCAAATGAATCAAAACCTTTTTTCATGATGCAATCACTAATTACCCTTTAATATATCTTACTTCACATCATAACAGATATACGTTTGACTGCATATGAAAGTGAGTTGGTTAAAAGATAAAATAGGACTGAGAATTATAGTACCATTCTTATGACATGTAAGGAGTCTTTATTGTGTTCGCTGGAAGTCTGTAATGAGAAAGCAGGTTTATCTCCTCTTTTTTGAACTTACTGGTGCTGTATGATTACCGATGCCTAGTTATACCTTGAACAACACTCCGTATGGTGTCCTTTGAAAAATAGAACTCGAGTTGTAAATGACTCAAGAAATGATATGGTGTACAGGGATCTTAATGAAAACATGTGCTGAAATTGCTTTGGACGAACACCGAAGACTTCAATGAGGAAATGAGATACATTTGTTTACTCCTTACTAATTATTTTGCTCGCTGTAGAGGGCAGTTTTCAAATTATGAGCCCATCCGATAAGTTGTGTTGGTCAGAAAACTTCGACTGGAACAGGCTGGATTCAGCAGAAACAAGTTATGTACCGATCTAATCACAACACTACGGATTATCATTGAACAGAGCTTGGAATGGCAGTCAGCTCTTCAGCTCACTCAACTTCATTTACTTTGAAAAAATGCCTTCGACAGCATCCATCGAGAGGTGATTTGGCAACTACTTCGCCACTATAGGGTGCCGCCAATAATTATACATCTCATCCAACAGTTATATGACAATGCTGGATGCCAAGTAATCCACAATAGGAAGCTCACGGAATCCTTCAAAGAAGTGAAGATGAGATTAAGACAAGCTGGCTGCTTACTATCTCAAATGATTTTTCTGACTTCGGTAGACTGGATAATGTGACAGACAGAGGCAGGCAACGAAGAGACAACATAAATGGATCCACACAAAAAGCTTGAAGGATCTGAATTTCGCCGATGTGAAATATGTCTGATTTTGCACAAACTGGAAGATATGCAAGTGAAAAGCAACAAGTTGGTAGAAGAAGAAGAACAATAGATGTGGAGGACTTCAGGTGAACATAGAGGAGACAGATGCAGATGATGAAGATTCCTGGCCGACAGCAAGAGCATCAACAACAACAGACAACAATCAGCATAAATGGGAGAAATCTGAAAGAGGCAACCTCCTTCACCTACCTACCTACCTAGCTACCTGGGAGCGTAGTTGGCGGACGGGATATTAAAGCAGTGAAGGTAAGGAAACCAAGACAAGCTTTCATTACTCTCAAGTCTGTGTGGAAATCAACAGCACTACTCAGTATGACAAAATAAGATCCAGATTTTCAACTCCAGTATGAAGTCAGTGCTACTATACGATCAGAGACTTTGCGCTGTGCCGCATCACGAAGGGCACTTAGAACAAACTATAAACCTTCATCAACAGCTGTCTTTGCTCAGTACTACTCAAGATCAGACAGCCAGCCAGAAAAGATCAGCAAAAGCTAAGGATCTCTAGCGATGAACGAACCAACTCAGAGCAACGAATAAGCAGGAAGAAATGGAGGTGGATTGGTGGCCATACTCTGAGAAAACCACCAAGTGACATAACACGTCTGACCCTTGAATGAAACCCGGCAGAACAGGAAGCGGTGAGTTGGACGTTAGTGTGAGGGTGACATGGAAGAGAAGGTTATGGGATGAGGAGATGTGGGCAGACGTGGAGCCATATGAAAACGTTGGCAGAGAACCGAAAGCAATGGAGACGTACTGATGAAGCCATATGTTCCTCTAGACATCAAAGGAAACAATAATAATAATATGAACTAACTTGATTGTAGCTGCTTGATGACAACTATTCCAGATTGAAGACCAACCAATAGATAATAATTTTCAGGGCTGATTAAATTTGCCCTATTTGATGGTTGGTCTCTGCTGCTTCCTGTGTTAACAGAATTCATAATGAATGGTTTAACAGAAATATGCGTAATACATGAACCAAAATAGGCAACCTCTTCTGGTACACCTTCACCAGCTAAAATCAATAAAATAATCAATCAAAATTAAGTCTATTAAAAAAAGTGAGTAAGCAAGATGTTTCATAGAAAATGAAAGATATCCTCAAGTGGAAAGATTCGAGAAAGTTCAAGTAGTGTTGGTTTGCAGGGATTTCATCATGGACTGAAATTAGTTAGAGGACCACTGGAAACCACTGCGGAGTACCGGGCAGCTAGCTGTTTCGCCCTAGTTTGGGACTCTTCATTATTACACACCTACGGAAGGTTCTCTAACCCACGACTTTCTGATTACAAGGCTAACGAGCTTGTTGACCATTAAACCACCGGGACCCAATCTAATGGCACACAAATTCATGATATGGCACGACCACTAGCAAATATCGTCGGCAAGTATTTGTCCTCACAGCCGACCTGCTTTATCTCAGTGGTCACGAATTCCCAAAAGAACTCAGGTAAATGTCTACCTGAATAGAAGCAGGTTGTTATTCAGAAAGTAATTATCGATCGATTTGTTTCAATTTCTGAGGGCGTTCCCACCTTTTCTCTTGGACATAAACAAGTTACTGTTCTCGTAGGTTTCGAGTGGAAAGTACAGCTCCAGTACTGCACCTGTATCTCATCCTGTTCTATGCAGGCCTATTAAGCCGGCTCCACAATTGTCCTTAATCTGTCATCTTCAACGTAACTCTCTGACCCATGCTCACCTTGTCGCTTCCTATCCAGGTTCCATTCGTGAGCCCAACACGTAACCATCTGCATTTTCTTCGGGATATTTGTTGAGCAACTGGTTCAGGTTGATTCGTTCCCAAAGTTTCTTGATGCTAATTCTTTGCGCTTAGGTGATCTTCAGCATGGTGTGAAGTCTGCACAAGCTTGTTGGTAATGCGTTTTGTGTTGCGTGAGCCAAGTTTCTGACTCATATAAAATAAAACAATTAGTCCCTTTGATAAATTTGAATAAGGCAGACGTGGAGTGGACAATATCTTCATTTTACCAGTTTTGTTCCTATCCAGTATAAACGTTCCCTGGTGAAATGTTTGTTCTCAAGGGCTCGAAAAATATGTACGAGTGACACATTGATGGATGACCTTCGACATATACATTCAGTTTTACTAGCCAATGGTTATCCAGGAAACTTCATCAATTGTCACGGTAAGGATAGACCACATCTTGAAAAACAGCTTCTGTACCAAAGAAAGCTATCTATCTTTATTAACCTACCATTCAAGGACGACCAGATTATACAGTTGACAGCTCAAAGACTTCGGTCAGCCATCAAACGCACATTCTACGCCGCATCTCTTTTTCTCACTTGCCGAACATTTTCGATCCCTGTACCTACCTACGATTAAAGGATGAAATTCTGTGGACTCTACTTCAAACTGTATCTACAAGTTCACCTGCAGCTGCGGTGACACCTATATAGGTAGAACTAACAGAATGTTCCAATGTCGTCGAAAAGAACATGTTCCAAAATGGCTAATAAATCATATCGAAGATCCTAACGCGATTAATCTTAGTAGAAATCCATCATCATCCATTGCAAAACACTTATTAATGTCTGGTCACAAAATCAATATTAATGACTGTTTCACAATTATTTCACATAACTCTAATTCAAGGCTGGTTATTGAAGGTGATGGAAGCACTTTGGGGGATTAATCACATACAGCCTAGACTGTGTATACAAAAACCAATAGACTTCAATCTTCGCCTACCCTGGACTGCATGACCTATCTTAATATGATTGGTCATTAGTATGTACTTTTGTTTTTTATTTAACTGAGTAACTGTCATGAACCTCATTTTATCATTGTTAACCATGTTAGTTGTAAAGCGGTTGTAAAGAAACTACGAAATGATATCATCTCGCGAAATCTGTCTTCTTAATGCCTTATTCATATTAAAATAGATGACCGACTTAACAATGGTGTTAAAAACCCGAATTTTGTTAATTTATGCGTAAAAATTGGACAATGTGGTAGTAAGTAATTCCATATTAATTTGTTTGTTTATTAGATATATCACACATAGAGTATTATTTACTAGATGACAAGGTTTTGAACACAATTCATCATTGTACATAATCATTTCATCAATTATAATCACATGACTTCGAAACTTCAGCTTGATAGTTTTCTTTGTTCTTTCCTATTTGTCGTCGTTGGGGCAGTAGAATTTTCCAGATATCCGCGTGGACAAGTGTTGAATCATTCATATTTCGAGTGTTCACTCCCAGTTGATTTAATAAACAAAGCTTCTGTTATCAATCTCTCCCTCCCTCAAACCCTGTTACATTAGATTTTAAAACTGTCATCTTATCCCATCCCATCCTATGATGTATGGTTGTGTGTAATTGCATGTAGTGAGTGTTATAGCTGTTGAACTATTCTCCAAATTTCTTATCTTGTTGGGGCCAAATAACCTAGATTTTGCAAGGTTTTTATGCTCGGCTAGTCTGACTGACTGCTTCTATTCTACTAATTTGACCTATGTATTTGACCTGACAGTCATTGCAGGCAGAGGATTAGATAAACTAAATTGTTGCATTTTATTTGCCTCACAGGCAGGATCCTTTAACTGACAAAGCTTGTTTCTAATTGAATTTCTGGGTTTGAATTGAATGCCAACCACTTTTATTCTTGCCTTGTTTAGAATTCTCCGCCACAAGGCTTCCGAGGTTCCTTTCTTGTACGGAATTACTACCGATGATTTAGATTTTTTCATTATTGATGTTATCATTATCTTGCACTTGTTTGCCATGCATGTCGTCATTAACATTATTATTAGTAGTAGTATTATCACTATCACTACTACCATTATTTATTTTATTTTTATTTTTACATTTTCCTAAATACTTTTTCAAGTATTGGTTTTGTAGGGATTTTGTTTGATTGCATGGAGGATTTAATCATGAGCTGACGTCAGTTAGAGAACCACTGGAAAACCTGGGAGTACTGGACAGCTGTTTCGTCCTAGTTTGGGACTCTTCACCAGTACGCACCCACCGGGATTCCAACCCAGGACCTTCTGGTTACAAGGCGAGCTCGTCGACCATTGGGCCACTGGGACCCGATCCAATGGTCCTTTTGACTAATTTATCAAAGTGATTATTACGTTTCAAAGCTTATCTTATCCGTCTCACATCCTGTCTTAGATTTTTTTTCGTACAACTTAATTTCTATGCTCTATTTCACTTAAACATTTCGCCATTCCTATTTTCACTGACATAGACTGGGTGGGATGATCGGAAGTTCAAATATCTGTTTGAATGTGTGGGTTTCCTGTAAACACACACTGGTGTGTTTAACTTTCCATCTTATTTCCTTTTTAGGCTACAATCTAACCTTTGTTGTTTATGATGATTGCAGTAGATTTCATAGTGATGAAGGTTCAGCTTGACTTCCCGATTCTAGCCTGCTGTGACATTCTCATCTGTTCTGTCGCCTCTAGTTTAGGCGATGCTAACCAAATAAGTTTAAGGAAGTGGCCTCTTTCAAATTTATTCCTCTGATACCGATTGGTGATTGTTGCTGTTGATTGGTTGGATATCTACGTCACCTGTATATTCTTTAATCGTCGTCAGACAATAACTGAACTATATCACTCATTATTAGCATTTTAAAGAAACATTAATTACTTCTGGTAAAATATTCATTATTATTTTAGGTCAGACCAAGGATTGATATCAGTTAGAGAACCATTGAAAACCAGGGAGTAGTGGACGTCTGTTTCGTCCTAGTCTGGGACTTGTTGGTAGAACGTACTAACTGCCAAGGCTTGAACCCAGGACCTTCCGGTTACAAGGCAAGCTCGTATACCAATTCAGCCACTTCTGTGATCCGATTCAATAGTCAGTCCATGAATTCTAACTTCTACCAATTCGCGATTTTAGCGCGGCCATCAAACAATGCTATCACAGTGTGAACTCCCCACTCCCGACTGATTGGATCATACTGGTCACGACTTCTCACTAGAACTTCGTCCTTTATTCAACCACTAGAGGGCATCAGATTAATTAGCAAGAATTAATTTGTAAGGATTTTATTTGTTTCTGGTTTACCCATGGATTGATATCTGTTAGAGAATCACTGAAAACCAGGGAGTACTGGATAGCCGACAGGAGTAAGAATGGAGTGCCCACCCATGACACTGGCTGATGGTAGCGCTGAAATCAGGAATTCGTAGAATTTAGAATTCATGGACCATCCAATTGGGTCCCAGTTACTGAATGGTATATGAGCTTGCGTTGTAATCAGGAGGTCCTGGATTCGAACCCTGGCAGTGAGTGCGTACTGCCGCCAAGTCCCAGACTAGGACGAAACAGCTGTCCAATACTTCCTAGTGACTTTTAACGGTACTCCAACTGATATCAATCCGTGGCCTAACCTGAAACAATTAGAATCCCTAAGAGCTAATTCTTGATAAATCATTATTATGCCTCAAATTCTTCGGATACATCTTATATCAAGTTATGCATTAGCTATCCTGTGAAACGACGTTACAGTATTCTTTGTCTCCTGTTGGTTATTAAATGAACTATTTTAAAAACAACCATTTCTCAACGTTTGTCCATCTATCTGCGTTTCCTTAGGCGCATTTGTTGAGTAGTAAGGTCTTGGTTGGTCTGTTCCCCGACTACTCTGTTGCTTCTGTTTTCTAGCCATCTTATCTCCAATAACCGCTGAGAACAATAATGACAATGATATCACATCAGTTTCTTTATATTGCACAAACAACGAGGATCCCAGAGATCACTGCCAAATTAACCTAAATCTCTTTCATAATGCCTAATTTGTATGACCTGGAATCGACTATGACGCAGACTGAGAACAGAGTCTTTCTTAGCAAGTCATCCAACATGGTTTAGTAAAGGAAAAACACAATCCATTCAAAGCCATATTCTATCTCTTCTCATGGATACAGAAGAAAGATTGATGTTAACGAGGCAGCTTTCAAAGTCATCTACCGTATACGAACTAATCTTAACTTTATCATAAGAGTTCGTCTACTACATAGTGTTGAGGCGTTTGCTGGGTTCTACATTAAGAAACCTAAGTTGTGTATCCAAAAGAAGATGTTGGTTCAGGCACTGTCCGTACTTACCTTGACTTTCAAGGTTTCAATGATCCTCAATTTGTTGTGGAAACTTCCTTAATTTTATTTGACATTCTTTTGGCTATTACACTTATATGCTTATCATAATTCATGCATCTTCAGTGAACTGTAATTCCATTGTGATCTTACTTAATAAATCGATATTATTTAAAAAACACTAACATTGTTATTGACTGCTATTCTGGAATATTCTATGTATATAAACATGCATATATAATTGTATCTTAATGGCTGAGTACTATATTTTGGTTGGACACTAGTAACTAGTGTGATGTGTCTATTCCTCTCTTTGGTGCAGACTGAATTCTCTCAGTAAGGTTTGAAATGTGACCACCATTCTAGGTAACTCAACATCACCGTGCACATTGACTTGATGCTACTAGATGGTTGGGGGCAATCGGCCACAGGAAGCCTTGTCTGACATCTCTGGCATAGACGTGATATCCGGCTGGTTATCGACCAGAAGGCGGGTGAACTGCTCAACAGCACTTCGCTCCATCCTCCTTTATGGCTGTGAGCGAGACATGGCCATTGAGAGTGGAAGAAAACATGAAAATATTAGCTGTCTTTGATCATAGTTGCTTGTGCTCTATCTCCCATGTGAAGTGGTATAATAAGGTGAGCAATATTGAGGTTAGGCATCTGTCGAGTGCTAGGTAGGTGGGAGGGGAAATCAATCGACGAGGCTGTGAAATTACATCGATTGAGATGGTTAAGATATGTGTTACGTATGCCTAGTCGTCGTTTTCATCGATAATAGGCTTGAAAAGAGCTAGCTAGCGGTGGTCAAACCAAAACATGGATTCACCAGTCAATGAAATCTACAACAGTTAGTTTAAGCCAGTCAGCCGCGTAGGAAGGTGTAGACTTCCTGACTGGTTGTGGTCCTCGAGACTGTAAAATCCAATGGCTGGAAAGAATCGGTGATACGGTTCGTTCTGAATGGCTGGTTCAGATGCATCCACTTCTTGTGACATATAATTTCCAACGAAACTGTATTGTTCTTCGTTACTACTATTCTTTTTGTCTCATATCGATGTTTACTGTTTCTATGTTGCATTTCTTCTTACTTTCTTCTCTTGCTCTGTGTTCTACAAGAAGAGAGTGTGGCGACTCGAACTGCCGTACATATGTGCAAAGTTCTACATCGAAAACAGACTGACAGACTGATGTAGGTTTCATTCTATTTATTTTATTTTTGATTTACAGCTTGATTCCACACTGTATTTTTGGTACAAGTATGGAATTTTCAGCATGTGATATCGGTAGCCCAAATTTGGCAGGCCGTTTATAGATATCAGGTGTGCGTCAGCAGGGGATCGAACCCCGGACCATGTGCATGGTTGACGAGAGTCCTAACCACTGTGGCACCGGGGGTGACCTCCTGCAGGAGTTTACTGAATAGTTAGATTGGACACTTGTAACTTGTGTGATTAGGAATTCTAACCAGTCAGAGTAATTTTATCAACTTTATTTTAATTCTGTTAATCTATCCTAATGGTGGTTAATGGTAGTGACCTTCAGTCGAATTGAGGATGAGCATTTCATCCCAGTTAAGTCTCATCATCTGAATATCCCTGAGTTCACAGTCATTGATGGTGTTCCCGATAAGATAGAGAGAAATACGCGTTAATCTAAATCAATCCCATTGTCATATTAAAAAAGAGAGAATAGCAATTATATCTTATTTCTCTTACCTTTTGTGAATTTATCCAAAAAATAGAAGAATAGTTGACATGATCCAGACCAGTAAACACAAACAGAACTGGAAGATGCTAACAGAAAAGCAAAATAAGCGACAAAAAGTTTATTTCAACTAATAAAACGTTTTTATATAGTTCGATTTAAACACTCTCGTGGATTTAAGTGGACCGAAGTGTTCTGTCTCTGTTGACATCTCAGAACCTTGTATGGATGTTACACAGATGTCTGAGAGTTTAACTTGAAGTATCATGGTGGATAGTGATTATCAGTTGGATGTTGGATGCACATTTCTCGCTATTTAGGATTCATCAGAGGTCAAATACTTCCATCCAATCAGTCAACGAGAAAGATCTAATACGCGTCGCACAAGATGCGGCTGTCTTAACCCAAATTATCTAGTGGACAAAGCCTTGGTATCTAAAACGATGAGTAATAGGTTCGAGCCTCACTGAGAACATCATCACTTCCTCACTGAGGAATGCAAATGCATTCAGATGACGAATCCTGAATGGAGTGAAATCCGTTTCCTGGACTCCATTGCTAATCATCATCCACCAAATTACTTCAAGACAATGAATACTTTGACTGTTTTCAGGGTCACATTGTAACGACAGGTGACAAGAGACAGACAACAGATCGTCTATTGAAAAAATCAACAGATATTTATAGATTTTTATGTTCATTATTATTAGCGTTAGTGTTGGGGTAGAAGCAATGTCTTCTGGTTGGTTGTTTTTTTATTATAGCTTGATTCCACACCGTATTTTTCGTACAAGTATGGAATTTTCAGCATGCGATATCGGTAGCCTAAATTTTGCAGTCCGACCATTGATATGAGGTGTGCGTCCGTATGGGATCGAACCCAGGACCATGTGCATGATCAGTGAGAGTCCTAACCGCTGTGCCACCGAAGGTTATTCCATCATCTCTTTGTTGCCGTTTCTTAGACAGTCCGGTAATATATCTGCAAATTGTTTCTGCCTACGTTAAGTTTGCTGTGATTGGTTGTTGAGTTCCTCAAGGTTAGGCTTTGTTCTTGTTTTTTTTTCCATGACCCCAATTTGGGACGTAAACACTGACGCACACTGTTGTCTGCAATTTCGTCTAACAGACAGCTCTCATCACAGTACTATTCTAGAAATATTTCAGGTCAAAAGTCAAATTAACAAAATTCCAATGTGTAATAATCTGGAAGATCGGGTAGAAAAGACTTAATAAGATCATAATTACGAAAAAGCTTGACTGTTTGAATAACTACGGGTTAAGGACGTAGTATTAGCTAGATGGGTAGGAAGTTAGGACATATACATTTTTTTAAAAACAACAACCACATCTAGTAATGCAGACAGGAATTAGGAAAGTAAAAATAACAGAAATGAACGAAAGTCTTGGATCGGAAAGGTAACTGGTTGATCAGTATTGGTGGGAATGACTTCCTATGATGGCTATGGGTCGGACGTATTTCTTTTGAACACACAGAGTATTGGGCTTGAGTTTTTGGATCGCCAGTGTCTCAGCTATTCCCAGACGCCTTGGTTTCACTTCAAATGATAGGTCTGGTCGGATCTTGTATATGACTTTGAAGAAATTTTCAAACGGAGCTGAATGCTCCGAATTCACCAGATGTCCTACAACCGAACGGTACACACTCCTGCGTTCTCCATTTGTTAACCACCCAGAACAGTATTCCTGAGGGCGTTTTACGAGCGGACGCATGGTGTGGCCAATGAACTCTGTTCCACACGAGCAAATGAACTAGTAAATGCATACTGAAGTGGCACAATGATCAATCTTAAATAACTGAAATTGCTGCTATTTCTAGGTGAATAGGAAACATTCTATTTTTTTATTTCAGCTTGATTCAACACAGTATTTTTGTACAGAAATGGAATTTTCAGCATGTGATATCGGTAGCCCAAATTTTGCAGGCCAACCATAGATATCAGGTGTGCGTCGGCAAGGAGATCGAACCCCGGACCATGTGCATGGTCGGCGAGAGTCCTAACCACTGTGCCACCGACGCACTCAGCTGGGTATTACTGTGAGTATACTAAGAGTTTTCAAGGGATGAAAATTGTTTAGAGACTGAATACTGAACGAAAAATACATTCATTTCGATAAATCCCTCATCACACTCTAAGCCTTTTTGACAGTAATACTTGTAGATATATTGTTATTAGATACTGGTCCCTCCAAACAGCTAAGGCCGTGTGTGCAAAAGAAACAGGTTCAGCCATTATTTCTACGCTAGCCCCCTATCAAGCCTATAAATCAATAAATTCTGTGTTACTTCCTTTAATTTCATAAATGAAAGAAATCTGAAAGAAGCAACCTCCTTCACGTACCTACCTACCTAGGAAGCATCGTTTCAAATACAGGCGGACGAAACTGATGAGAATATTAAAACGGCGAGAATTGGGAAAGCAAGGCAAACTTTCATTTCTCTCAAGTCTGTGTGGAAGTCAACAGCACTACCCGGCATGAAAATGAAAATAAGATCCGGATTTCCAACTCCAATGTGAAGTCAGTGCTCCTAAAAGTATCAGAGACTTGGCGCGTCACGAAGGCCACTTCGAAGAAACTACACACCTTCATCAACATCTGTCTTCACTCAATACTGCTCAAGATCAGACGGCCAGCCAGAAAAGATCAGCAACAGGAAAGGATCTCTGGCAATGAATGAACCAAGGCAGCAGAAACCAACTGTGCAACAAATATGCAGGAAGAAATGGAGGTGGATTGGTGGCCATACTCTGATAAAACAAACCATCAAGTGAGTGACATCACACGCAAGGCTCTTGAATACAATCCAGCCGAACGGGAACCACCGAGTTGGTCGTTAATGCTAGGTTGACATGGAGGAGAAGGAAGTGATGCGAAGAGGAGATGAAAGTATATGGGTAGATGTGAAGCCAGAGGAAAACGTTTACAGAGAACCGAAGGTAATGGAAATGTGCTGCTGTTCCTCTAGAAATTAAAGGACACAATAATAATAATAATCCTTTAATTTATCTAACAGTCAATCAGTGCAAGGTTATATTACTGTATATGATCTCTCTCTCTGTCTTCCTCATGCTTCTGAAATGTAATCTGCCTACACTTTGAATTCAGTTTGTGGTGAGAGCAGGCCGTGAGAAAATATGTATAAGGCTGATTTAACAACCAATCACAGCAAAGTTAACGTGGCAAAATATGATTCGCAGATAGAGAACTCTATTTGTCGAGGAATCCCGAAACAACCAATCAGAAGCCTGCGTTTGTCTACTTGAATAAGCTATAATAATGTATGTGAAATATGTATAAATACGTGTTGATTTTGATAATAAAAGGATCTGTTGCCTGGCCCTTGTCTTCTGTTGTTACATTTGGTGTCGCTGCCTACCGACAAATGGAAAGCCTATGTCCTGCAGTTTTTGATGGAGACATATGGATCTTCGGGCAGGACTTCAAGGCTTCTGCGCAGTTGAGTGGCATTCAAGATCTCTCAGCGACGGAGCTGCTACTTGGAACGCTGCTGGGAGGTCGGGCGAAAGCAGCATATGAAAGTGTGAGCCGAAATAACGACGAATGTTCGACAGGGTCAGGCAAACAGTTTCCAAAGTGGATGGGACCACATATGGTCACGTCGAGATGGGGTTACGCAGACACAGTCGCAATAGCGAACAATGAGAGGCGCGTGAACGTCAGCGAGCTCCAGAAATGGATACAGCGAGACAAGCCAACGATGACGCCTGCACCAAGTAGATCAAGCCGACTTCAGTCGCAAGTCTTTGACGGGGGACGAGTGTGGTGAGAGCAGGCCGTGAGAAAATATGTACAAGGCTGATTCAACAACCAATCACAGCAAAGTTAACGTGGCAAAATATGATTCGCAGATAGAGAACTCTATTTGTCGAGGAATCCCGAAACAACCAATCAGATGACTGCGCTTGTCTACTTGCATAAGCTATAATAATGTATGTGAAATATATATAAATACGTGTTGATTTTCATAATAAAACGATCTGTTGCCTGGCCCTTGTCTTCTGTTGTTACAAGTGTACTTTATGAAAGCACTTATGTTGTAAATGATAATAATTCTTTATTATGGTCTTAGAACTGTAGGATCTGATCAAGAAGATACTGAAAACAATATTCACTTGTGATATTCTCATTTGTGGTGGACTGCATTAGGCATCAGACTGTGCTTGGGAGTGAGAAGAGAGGAATAAGGTTGACAAGCGAGAAGACTCTAGAAGATCCGGATTTCTAACGGGGATTATTTTTGTGTTTAGTGTCACACAAATAAACTCGATGACTTGCTGCAGGCAAGGCTGACAGCGAAGACAGGACTCCAGGTGAATATGGAGAAGACAGAGGTGATGAATACAACCAAACAAAGGCAACAATAACAAGAACCAGTCACCACCGAAGGGAGAGATTTAACAGGAGTTACCTCCTTCAATTATCTAGGAAGCACAGTTTCAACCACAGGTAGACAGCACGGTTGAGGATGTCAAAACCAGCCAGCCAGTCAGAATCGGAAAGGCAAGATACGCCTTCATCAACCTGAAACCAGTTTAGAAATCTTCTATCGTCACTTAACCGGCATAAAGAAAAAAAGATTTTGTTCCACTTAAATAGGAAGTCAGTCAGTGGCTTCTTCTATTCGGGACAGAAATTTGCACTGAGTGTCACGGAAAGGATTTCCAACAGGCTACTGCAGACTTTCATCAACAGCTAACCTTGCTCCTCCATACTGAAGATCAACTGGCCAGAAAGCATAAGCAACAAGAAACCATGGGAAGAAAGCAACAGTCGACAGCCGATTGCTCAACAGGTCGATGCACACAGTGCAGGCCGTCGCTCCAATGGAATCTTGATGGGAAGCGATAAATACGTTGTCCTAGCGTGAGCTGGTATAGATGAGAGAGAGAGAGTTTGGTCACTCATGGACCCAGATGAAGAAGACGGCAGAAAACAAAAGAAAGTGGAGAGTGCTCAGGTTGCAGTCCTATGTTCCACTCAGAACGCAAAATGTTCATTGAACTGTAGGATCTATGGAGAGGAGGTTATCGGATAGAATTTTCCT